TCCGTTTCCGCTCGGCTTCCTGAAGGATTCTCCCGTCGTCGTGGGCCGGAAATCCGCCGACTTCTTCCGAGTATGGGAGCGGGTGCCAAGTCCGGCCCCTTCTCGTTCGCGGTTTTGAAGGGGGGGGGGGGGGGGGGGGGGGGGGGGCCCTCTGCCCTTTCTGGTCGAAGTCCGGCCCCTTCTCGTTCGCGGTTTTGAAGGGGGGGGGGGGGGGGGGGGATGAGGCACTCTGACCTTTCTGGTCGATGTGCGGTCGATCGATTGGGGGTTTTATGAGACTCTCTCTCATCTGCAATCGGGAAGAGACACTCCAAGTGGGTAATAAGGGCCGGCGCTCTTTCCACGGAGGCGCGGGTCGACTCGTTCTCGTGGCATAGCGTCGTGCGGTCGTTCCGATCGATTCCTGGCGAGGCCATGCGTCTCCGGAAAGGTTCACCTGTAACACGATGGCTGTCTCTTACCGAAACGATATACGAGCCTGTGCATCGGTAAGTTTGGATCGGACGAGGCATCGATGCGGGTGTCGCCGTTCCTTCCTCGAGACGAGCCCGCGTTTCCTTTATTTTTCCCTCTGTAATCCGGGGAAAAGGTATATGCTTCTATCCAATCCCATTTACCCTGATGAACACCCGTGATTCCGTTCCATCTCGTGGGGTACTCTCGAAGACGGCCCAGAGGGTACAAACCGTGTCTGTCGTTAAGAATGCCCGATCGACGAAGGGTGAAGGGAGTAGTACCAATCATCCGATCGTATCCGTAAATTTCTCTTGGGATCCTTTTTTTTGCGACGTGGGAACGATCCCGAGTCGATAGACGGAAGCCCCGCGCTCTCTCGACCCGCTGGCTTAGAAAATATTCTAAACTCTGTCTAGTCTATTCGGTAGCGTGGACTCGTATGCGATCGGGAATCGTTCTGGTGCAAAAGCCGATGAACCCTACCGAGTGAAAGACAAAAAGGCGAAAGTAATCCGAGTGAGAATGATCGAAATCGACTCCGCATTTGATCGATTTTGTATTTATTTGTTGAGGATGAGGAGCAGGTTCACGTGACGGCATCTCTCGGATCGATGTGCCTGGCCGACGAAAACCTGGCATCGATTGGCGAACACGATCAGCCCAGATGACCTCGGAAGAGGAGCTCGTGTCAGAGAGTAGTTCAATTACGCATCCTTGATCGTAATGAGACCCTTCCCTCGTTCGCGAACGACTCGGGTCGTAATGTTCCTGTCCCATCTGCGCGTCTTCGATACTGAGGCACAGCACTAAATGCTGCTCGAATTGCTGTGAAGCAGAGGTGCGCATCGGGCGATCTTCACCGCGGTAATCGCGGTGCGGTCAGCTCCAAGGGTGGTAAAATGCAATGCGGTCGCGATGAGCTGCGGATAAAATTTGATTTAACTTATTTATTTAATTTCAAAGAAATTCTGTGAAGGCGCATGCCTATTTCTTATTTCATTCCATCACCACGAACTTAAGCGATGGGAACAAGTATTGGAATGAGGCTCGATCATTCCTGGCGGCAAGCGGAGTCGATCATCACTGGAAGAGGAAAGGGCGGCAGAGTCTCGATATTAAACGTGGGCTAGATCTGTGCCTAGTGGCTTCTCAAATGAATATCTCCTGCCAGATGTAATGCTTTTCCTGTCTGACCTTTTCCTTTATTTTGCGCATGCCTCAGGGATCAGAAAGGGAAAGATGCCAGCAATTACATACAGGGATAGTGTAATTAATTTCAGCCCAAGTACTGCTTTTGACAATTGCAGATTCAAGTTAAAAAAAAGTGTTTCAGAAAAAAGTATTCCAAAATTGCTTACTAATGGTAAAGATTCATCTGGTAAATTGTGATCTCTCGAAAAATTGCTACCGACAAAGTTCAGTCTTAGGAAATTTCTTCTGACAAAATATGGCGTCAGATAAAGGCTCTTCGGACAAGTTTCGGTCTCGGGTAGAAGGAGAGTAGGACTAATGTCGTGTCATGGGAACCTCTGCTGTGAAGAGGTTTGGAACGTTCCCAGTCCACTTTCGGTCCACTGATCGAGTTTCAGTCTGAAACCTTCCATTCTTGCATGTTAGTTTAAAAAACGGCCGATCGTCGCCATTCTGAAATGAAAATGTCGGAAAGGAACGATATCGTGATTCCTGGCTGTTGGAACTTGGGTACGGTGAACACCTGCCTGCATCCACGCGATGGCATGGCTATTTAGTATCGGGGCTTCCGAGTACGGAGGAAGCGATCGCATTTATCTCCATTCGATATTGTTGTCCTGATTGATGGTGCGAGGAGGCATGCTCTGCGGCTGGACTCGGGATCGAGAGGGTCTTGGTCGTCGACGTCGATAATGCCTTGGTGTTCCAGAATTTATCCATCTTTTCCCCGCAGTCTGACGCTTTTCGTCCCGATACGTTCAGGTGAAAATGTAACCGCAACGTGTTAAATCTGATGGGGTGAGGCGCAAAAACGAGGGTGACACTCAAGGACGAGAGAGAGAAGGGAAGCGACATGAAGGCGACATCGATAAAGATGTCTCTAGGCGCGCCATGCAGCCTCATTTGCATCCAGCTCTTATGGTAAATCGTCCGGGAAAAGGATTGGCGTGCTATAGCTGTCCTGGAGCCGCGATCGTCCTCTGGGCCTTGCGCTAGATGAAATGAGCCAAATTCGATGACAGAAACTGTCTAGGGCAGGAACGATCCATAAAAGAGTCCGATCCATACACTGTAGTATATGTAATCGGAAATACGATGGAAATCCCTGTATTTCGTCTACGTTTCGTTTCCATTGTTGAGTAGATATGGTTCTTCGCCTGAAAAGACTCGAGTTGAACGGCTTAAAATGAACTCTGTTTGTTTGCTCGACGCAGGACGATATAGAAATGAGGATGTTCCATGGATTTCTCTCTTTCCAAAAAAGCGGCGCCACGGAACCAGCCCTTTGCCGATTGCACGAACGGTATTCGATGGAATTCGATGTGCTCATCGTTCCATCTCCTTAACACATTGCTCCCACAGGGTTTATTTACAACTCCATACCAGGTTGTGCTGGAAGACCCAAACGAAAATTATTTGCTTATCTGATTTTTTTTCTTTGACAAAGCACGAAAGAAAGGCAACCAGTTGCCCAAAACAAGTCAAGTGGGTAATGGGGGAGGTGGCTAAAAATAAATAAACTAATAAATAAAACATGAGTGAGTTATATGGGCACTACTAGTGACATGCTAAACGGGGTTGAAGGTTCGCGTGGGTAAAGTGAAGCGGGATTTCTATCGATGATGGCGTTCCCGTGCCAAGATTCCCGGGAGATATAAAATAAGATGGGAGCCCAACACTTTCAGAGTGGTTATTGCGCACTTTTAGCCCGAGGAACGGTGGTCGAGACTTACGACTACTCTTCAAAAGCAGTTTCACGTGTCATCTAGCCATTCACAACTCTGCATGAAAGGGAAGAACACAACTTAAACTTTATAACAGGTACAGTGAATCTTGTGGAGACGAGCACCTTGATTTTACGACCACCTCCTGTTTGCGGTCAGAAGTGCTCACTCCAAATCGCTAGCTCAATTGGTTCAATGTTAAAATAACCAGTTTTATCCAACCACCTGGCAAACGCGGCCAAGGATTTGTGGATCCCCTGGACACTCTTTAATCCGGCCAGAACACTGAGGCCTTCTTTCCTTCCTGTTTCATTACCTTCCTCTTTTTTTTTTATTTCCTTGCCTTGCAGCTTCCTTCCTTTGTTCTTTTCCTCCCTTCCGCCTCTTTCCCTCTCCTCAATCCCGGAGTTGTCCCATCGCTTGGGTGTCAAGGTCACATCTCCAGAGTTTCGATAGCGAGAGGAACCATCATGAGGAGTGTTGACCAGTTCTTCCCTATATCTTGCTCCCTTTCTTAAAAGCCATCGAATGCTACGGCGAAGCTGAGATGCTTTTTGATAAAGAAGGGGATGCAGCATCCAGGAGCGAGTGTGCGAGCGCAAAATGCGTGCGCGTCAAACGAACATTTCGGTGTGAGGCTTCCTCACACCGAAACACATGGTTTCCAAATTTTTGTGTGTACTTAGTTTAATTAAAACTAGAGCTGTCACGATAGCAGTTTTCAAAACATCGATGCATCTGGTGGGGGCGGGATCCATCTTTTCTCACTGCGATCGGAGCGCGGACCTTTATCCGGCTTCTATCATCTCACGCTTTTTGTCGGGAGTGCAGGGGGAATGTACGACTTTCGCAAAGAGTAATGAAACCTACCATGCCTCCAACTATCGAAGATGACATCCATTCATCGATGGTTGCATCAGGACAGCCCTAATTTTTCCTATTGCCGTTGAGAATCAGCTGCCAAGCCCCGTTCACGTAATTATTTTTCTCTTTTTCTTCGTTCTACGATGTCTTTGGACATTGGCACCGCCAGATAGGAAACCTGCTGATGGTTCCAAACCGGCGGTTGCCGAAACGTCGGTACAGCCCTAGTATAGGCAACGTCTATGTACAATATTCACTCTGACTTCACCTTAAGTAGAGATAAATGCCCTAGGGCAAGTTAAAAATTAAGAACATTAAGCCTGCATACTAAAGTGCTAGGAATATAGAGAGCGGATTAGCCAATGTAGGTTTCGAAATCAAGGGAGTAAAAGAACAGTTCACTTTCGTAGCATGCACCTGATTAGATCGAGCCGAAAACAGAAACCGAAGAGAAATAATTTTTTTCTCGGTCTTCCCCCCCCTCTCCTTTCTCACTTCCTGTCTCCGATCCGACTTTTTTTTCCCTTCCAAACTTTCTTATAGTCAGTCCCAGCATTTCAGGAATTTGATTGTGATAATAAATCGTAAGCCCATGTGGGTCACGCCGCTTCTTCCTTTCCCCGCCCGGACGGACTGAATTGTACTGTACTCGCCTTAATCCCAATGAGACATTTCTCCTTTAAAATACTTCGTCGATGCATCGCGATGGTCGAAAAAACTATCGATATCTCCAACTATCGATAGTGGTATCGATGCATCGACCTATCGTGACAGCCCTAATAATTATATATTAAATTTAACCAGTTCTAAATGCAGTACAAAAAATGCACATTTACTGTATAAATGTTTCCAAGACTACAGAAGAAAAATGGTAACCCTCAACAATGAAGTAATGTGCAGATTCTTACAGTGAAAATTCTGCCCAAGGGGTCACATGAACCTATGAATTCATTAAGACATTAGCAATGGCACCTTAAACTATGAAGAAACTTTACTTTAATTTTTGTTCGATGTTCACTGAAAACAAATTCAAATATTAATATTTTGATAGATTGGGGCATGTACATTTCCTGAACCTCTTCACGATAATTTTCAGCATTCCACTTTGGAATACTGAAACACTTTCACACTTTCTAAGGAGCTCTTTTCACTTCCAGTGAAGTGAGGGATACAGGACAATAGAGACTGCCTTACAGACCACAATTAAATTAGGGATGAAATGAATTCCATTTTTCAGGCTGAATTGCCTGACCATAATAAGCAAAAAACAGGGTAAGGAATTGACATACATGCATAGTGGTTCCCTACAACTCAGGTCAGATTCCTTAAAGAGGATTGGTCTGGTCTGAATTCAACCAATTTGTAGAAATCTTTTGTTCCATTTCCAAATAGGAGAAATATGGGTTTGGTTCATTCTACATATGGTTTGTTCTTCTGATGGCAATGTGGTTATTTGCCAATCGTACACATGAAGATTTAGTCAGTTTGCGGGTAAGAACTCTATAACTTATCCATAGGGAATTGTGGGAATGTAGGAGCTTCCCTCACCAGAATTTTCAGGACCAATTTTCCAAACAGGAATCCAACAGCAGGAATTATGATAGCAGGCCATGACCTTTTGCTGATTATAGGAATTCAAATCTCTTAAAATGGATATGGATTCTTATTCCTTATGTTACATGAATAGGACGTAATCCACAAAAGCCAAATTTCTGAAACAAATGTCTACTTGGTTTGAAATAAGATCTAACTACCTCTTTACTTCCTTTCAGGGCAATGATGAGAGATGTATTTCATAATGTCTTAGCACTGAAATCTATTTTCAGGAGGTAATAATGAGAAAAGTAGGTTGTTACACGTTACATGAATTTGAACAGCTAAAGAACACAAGGTCAACAAAAGTATTTGGATTGATCCCTTATTTTCACGACAATTGTGCAGAGGTTACGTGCAGTGTGGGCATATCAAATATATTACTGCTCATTCTTGAAGGCCATTAAATAAAAGGTTTAAAATTGTGAGTATTTTTCTCCATTTGCATAGAATGACACAATAGGGAGCAAGGGAATTTGCATTCCCTTCCTTTTTGAATTGTGAAAATTTTATTTCTGGTGGTGTTGGAATCATGTACACATAATTTAATCATAATCTTATATTATCAATTTTTTTTAATGCTTTCATAACCATTGGAAGTTTTCTTTGTGTAAAAACTTGGCTATTTTTCAGGAAAGATAGAAAACATTTTTTTTCCAACCAAAACACTTTTCCAATTTTTCAACAAGCTTTCGGTTCTTGGGAGTTGGCTCCATTTCTCTTACCAATCTTTGCTTGAACCATCATTTGATGATTTAAAAAATGTCAATGCTGAAAATAAAAGATTCCAGCTCCAGCAAGAACAAGAGAAGCAATAAAATCTAATTTGAGCACCAACTGAGTCTTTCTACACCTTAGTACAACAAGGTGAAATAGCAAACTTTTCAACTGTGAATCAACATTTTGAAAGTTATTAATTCAACTGTCATCTCAGGAAGGAATAATGACTGATCCTCCCACCTTCAGAAATCATAGGCTCAATGGTGAAGACATGGCCTGGCTTCATCACCCCAATTGCCTTGTTCTCTAGAAAACAAAACAGGATGAGATCAAGAGTGTATATATTTCATGGAAATACTGTAAATTGATTAAAAAGATGTGAAGGACAGACTGGCATAATGAGGAACATTGGGAGCAGTGTGGAAGAGTCTGTGGATACCATGCCCACAGTAGCTGCGCACCACAGAGAAACCTTCTGATTGTGCATGCTTCTGAATCACATTCCCCACCTCTCTGTAGCGTACCCCAGGACGCACTGCAGGGGAAAAAATGAACAGCTTCCACTGAAGTAATTTGTAGAAAATACTGTGAATTACAACTGGATTTATTACTTTTCACAAGGATCTTTGAAGTTGAGCATCAGCATATATGAAGGGTTTATGCAACTGCACGAACTTCTAAAATAATCTCATTATGACTGGAAAATAAAGTTAGAATAATAATTTGGGAAAAAGACTTTGATTGTGAGACAAGTTTAGGTGAGGAAAAGACAAACCCATAGCAATAGCATTTTGAAGGCACTCCCATGTGGTCTTTACGAGTCGCTTGGCTGTATCACTGACATTCCCAATCAAGAATGTTTCATTCAGATCTCCGTGAAATCCCCGGTGATACACCGTCACATCAACTGGAACACAATTGAGCCACTTTCAAACTCATGCATAAATTATATGAATATAAACATGAGTTAGAGATGCAATCACAAGCTTCTTGTGCATTTGTAATGTAGCATAAGTAACTTACAAGGAACACTACCCAAGTGATAATATCAAATTTTCACCAAACTTTCGTCATTGAATGGGCTCTCAAAACAAAGTCAAACGGCACCAAAACTTGCGGTTGAGAAACAGGTTTAGGATCATAACTGGCTCTCTCAGTTTTCAGTGATACATGATTATTATAGTCACGGCCCTATTTTCTTTGACTATAACTTTCCAAGGGAAAGTCAGAATCAGGTGATATTTGACAAAGAGGTTCCTTAGTGAATAGGTTTTTTTCCCATGCCACTAGATGGTGCTACATGTCGATAGAGGGCGATGACGTCGGCAGCAGCGCCACTTACCTACTAGCTCTGCCATTTTTTAGGCACTGGAAAATAACATCTCTGTCAAACATCAGCTGCATCTGACTTTTCCTTGGAAAGTTATAGTCAAAGAAAATAGGGCAGTGACTATAATAATCATGTATCACTGAAAATTGAGAGAGCCAGTTATGAGCCTAAACCTGTTTTTCAGCCACAAGTTTTGGTGCCATTTGACTTCGTTTTGAGAGCCCTTTCCGTGACGAAAGTTTGGTGAAAATCTGAAATTATCACTTGGGTAGTGTCCCTTGTTAGATGAAACAGAAATAATAAAATTGTACAGTCAATTCAGAGTCACAGGCCTTTAAGCATAAAATGATCATAGATGATGAATTACTCCACTCCAGCTAAAAGGCATGCAATCACCAAAGACTTCCTCAGGCACATGAATAATGGAAGTTCTGTTTTGCTAGCAAAAATGTCTTTGTCTTTCAACCCTTAATTGATTCTAAAGCAATGAATGAAACTTTTAGTTTGACCACACATAGCTATTCAATAAGAGTGAGTGGGTACCAAGAGCTAATGATTTCTGAGAATACATCAATTTCTGTGATCACACAAGAAAAAGAAGTTTAGAATTCAAATACCATTCATGATGTCTCCATCTCTGAGTGGCCTGCTATCAGGTATTCCATGGCAGATGACTTCATTGACTGATGTGCAGCATGACTTGGGAAAATTGTAGTAGTTGAGTGGGGATGGGTAACACTCTCGATCAATAGTGGCTTCATGAACAATGCGGTCTATCTCATCTGTTGTCACCCCCAAGTCTACCACCTGAGCTGCTTCATCCAGCACTTCACGCCCCAACTAAAATGTCATACAGCCAATACATATATTTAACATTTTTATTTGTTATAATGGCATTGTCTCCCAAGGGAGCACAGCACCAGGCTATCATTCATTCATTCGTCCATATTACTCACACCAGTTTGGATACATTCATCTACAGGGTGGCCACAAAGTCCCTTTGCATTAAATATTAATGTTTGAAATTTTTTTACTGCAATTCCAGGTGAGGTTTCAACATGGCAGACATTAGGATATTTGGAATAGAGTAGAAGGCTTCATGGAGAATTACACATACCTTGCAGGCAACCCGTAAGCCCTCCTGCTCCTCATCAGTGAGGACCTTGATCACAGTGTTCCCTCGCAGACTCTGCTCTGAGAGAGAATGTCCCTGTGGGTGATCTGCATAGTCTGGTCGTGGAATATGATCCGAGACAACTCGACCTGGGGTCACCGGCCAAGGCCTCAGCTTCCCCGTGAATGAGTAGTATGGCCATGGATTGTAGTTTTCAGGCACATCCCCTCCTCCTTCGTTCTTGCAGTCTCCTTTTCCTCCTTCTCCTTCTACCACACAACATGGAAATGTCAATTACCCTACAGCTAAATTGTCAATGAATAGCTTGAAAGACACTTAATTAGCTTCTCAGTTGCAGCATTTTCGAATGAAACTAACCCAAATTCAATCAGAATCATTATCCATGCCACTTGGTTCACTCTGATCTTAACTGGCTCTAGCAACTGTTTTTCATAACATCCAATGCATTGAGGAGTGCAAAAGATGAATGGTGAAAAAGAAAACTTCATCCTCTAGATTACTCATTATTTGTGAATAATACTCTTGAAACAGTTGAGCATGAACTCCATAATATGAAGATCACCAGATCTACAGCTTTTGTGGTGTTTACAAACTACCTCTGCAGGAAAATAAAAGATGCGGAAGGGAATTGATGAAAACTCACTTGCAACCTTATGAATGACTTTGTGTTCACTCCAGTAACTTTTAAAGCAGGTTTGGGAGCAGAAGAAGGAGCCTGCAATGCCCAGCTTCAAACATGTTGGGCATTGAAGTGACGCTTCACTATTACAGCCAGGGGTCTCGCATATTCGCACATTCATTGCAGAATCTGTGAATTCAAGCTTAAGAGTATATCTACGATTTCAAAGATTATGATCCATATTGTCAAGAAGGTATGAGAGGTAAAAGCACACTATTAGCCATCATTGCCACAAAAAGGCATGACCTCTCTCTCTTTGAGTGTCATAAATATAAATGGAGACAGAAGAATTTCCGTCAAATGTAAAGGATTTTTATTTTAAATGTTCTAATAATGTATGTTGAAAAGGTATGCAATGCAGTCCTCTGTTGCAATCTCATCACAGTCAGTGTCAGTCAGAGATCAGAAAAAAAAGGTTTGGTCTTCATCATGAAACGCCAATGTGTCCTCTCATATTATATGAAAAGTCCCGGGCTCCAAGGGCTGTTTTTGGAGCTCGAACCCCTAGAGAAAAAAATATCACTCCTTCAATATCAAATTTCCAAATATTCAAATTTAGTCAAGAAGCTACCAATATACAGATCCTCTACTTTGGCACTTCTTAAAAAATATATAAAACTCATGGGAATTCAACATTTTATGAATATACTAGCTGAAGTACCTGTGTTGCCTGGGGAAATTCAATATTTCATGCATGAAAAATTGGGAAACGTAAGCCTTATGGTTTCCTATTAGTTACTGATCTTGGGTGTCACAAATTGCGCTCAGACCCCTTTCCCTTTTTTTAACTTTATTTTATTATTAACACTTTGAATAATTTCTAAATTATTTTGGAGTTAAAAAACTTCTTGGTGAAATGTTTATATCATTTTGAACATATTGTTGATGAAAACTTGATCAAAAGAATATTACTACCTACTGTAGTGAACCAACAATAGGATTATCCCAGGGTACTGTACCCAGGCCTCCTGATTGCCAGTCAGGTGTGCTACAACTGCACCACTGAATCCAGGAGTCAGTTATTTCTCTCAATGCCTTCCCAGACACTACTGTACCCTGGAAAAGTACCCCAGGAGTGAACATTTTGGATCGAAACATAGCCCTTGACCTTCCCCTGAATGAAAGAGGAGGCCATGCAATATTTGGTTGCACTGGCTCCTGTGGGGTCCGAATGCATAAAGGAATGGACAGACAGACAGACTTTCTTCTTTATATATATATATATATATATAATGCAAACACTAAAGAATATCTGATTCAAATGCATCCAATATGTGGATTTTTCTTCTGTAATAATCTTCAATGCATCAGAGACTTCATTAATTTATGAAGTCTCAAGAGAACAGAGTTAGAGCTTACAGGCATTCATTCATTCATTCATGGATTTCCAAAACTCACTGTCACAGTTCAGGCTGCCGTGGAGAGATGTAAGAGTTGAAAAATTGGAAAAGTTTGGTCAGGCACTCATGCATCATACAAAAGGCCAACCCCACTTGGTGCCCAATAATGATGTCTCATTGTTTCATCCTCATGTGAAAAGGAGGGAGGGAGGTTCTGAGTACTAAGAGGGTTCATGATGGATATTTTTTGTGAGAGCATAACTATTGCTAACTTCCTTATTGCAACATAACTCCCTCCTTTTACTTTGTTCATGAAGGCATCAAACCTCTTCTTAAAGCTAGTCATGGGTAGGGACAGCCACTACATTGTCACTCCATGGAATTATGAAGTCATTTCACAACCTGAGTCTCGCTTGGGATTTATGCAACTTGACCCTGTAATGACAGTTCTGAGTCCAATGGACCCAGATGCAAAAATTTAGTCACCTGTGTAGGCAGGCTGTGCTGTAAACTTGTAAAGTCTAACACTCTATGTATTTTCATGAAGACATGTAATAGTAATTAGGCAAAGTATTTTAAACATATTCTTTGAAAGTGAAGAGATGAAAAAAAAAAGTTGAGCCACCCAGGCTAAAGTAGATACAGGGTAAATGGAATGTCATCATACAGTCCTGTTTTTGAACCATAATATGCATAATGAAAAACACTGCATATTGGAGTATAGTTATAAAAATATTTCACTCATAAGAATACTTTTTTTTAAATAGTTAAAAAAAACTAGCTCTTATTCCTTTTCCACTTCTTTTTATTCCCTTTCTGCATTCTAGGAAAGTTGCCACTGACCCATCCTCCCAGCCACAGCTTTGCTCCATGGAACCAAGGTCATGAGTGGATGTCATTTGACTTTTTTAAGGGCTATGTAAAAGCCAATAAAGGGATAATAAAAAAGTTATGAACATTGTAGAAGAAGAGAGCAGATGTTGATTCAAAAGAAAATCTTGAATGGCACAAGAAAAATTCAGTCTGTAGAGAAGAAAACAGAAAAATACAAAAATAATAAAAATTTGACAGAAATGACAAAAACACCAAAAATGAGTGATGTACTAGGGTGAGACGCATTTCAAGCCTAAATTAATTAAGTCTAAAATCCATTCCCCTCATCTACATTATCAAATTGGTATTGGGATCAATACCATTCAAGAGGAAAGTGCACATACTGCCCATTTACATTGGTTCCTGGAGTATTCTATCCAGAGATGACTATAATATGATAACATGCAAATCCTATTGAGCAGGAGATGGAAACATGCATCCCCTACTCTACCAGAGAGATTGGAGAGGAGATCCTGAAGCTGGCTGGTGGAGGAAGCTCGTGGCATTTGAATAGGCAGAGGAGGTTGAAGGAGACCCGGTGGCATGAGATGATCTGGCTTCTTTTTTGTCTTGTCCTCATTACCTTGGCTCATCCAGCCTCTTTTTGGTGATACAGGTACCAATGGTGCAGCTGGACTTCGAGGGGAATGGGCACCAGGCACAGGCATGGGGGAATACGAAGATTGAGGTGGAGGGGCCCGAAGACCTTTCAGCTTTGCAAGCATGATGTACCAATGAAAAGCCTTTCCCCGCTTCCTTCGTGCACGATAACATTTCTGACAAATAAAAAAACACTTCAGTATCAGCCATGAAGAATTATGAGGGGTCATGCTTCCAAAAAGCAAGGAAACAAAACTTTAGAGCATTGGAATTACCTATATCTTTAGCATTCAGCAGCACCCTGCATTGTTCCCTCCCAGAGAAGAAATTCCTACTCAGACCTCATTCAATTTCCTCGTGAAACAGTGATGAGGCAAGTCTGGACTGTACAAAACTAATGGATATCCTAATCAGTTAGGAAATGAATGAACTGTTCTTTCCTCTCATGCCTTTCCTTATTTCAAAGTATTTTTATACCCTTAGGAAATCCTGAAGCAAGCCAACTCCAAGGGCTTTGCATAGAAATTACGGAAGCACCTTGACCATTTCCATGAAATATCTCAATAATGTGTAACAACCTCTTTCTTATTGTGATTGTGTTCCAGGACAATGCTGACCAATAACATGTAACTCAAGTAGGCAACTCTGGTCTTTGATACCACAGTCCAGGCTGAAAGGAACGTGTACACTAATGTGTGAGTATCCAAGATTGGTGGCACAAATTTAGATCAGTATATTATTCATTTCATATTTGGCACAAAATTTCAACCACGAAGAAACCTATCCAGTATCCTGACATGTGTCAACCTAGCCAGTATCTTGACATCAAATGCAAATTCTAACAAAAATCTGTAAGATATTGTTGGAAGTAATATCAAATGACATTGGGAACATTTTTTTGGTGGGGCAATATAAACAAACAGATTTCTTTATGCAAGAAAAAAAAAAAATTAAGGCATCCACTGAGTGGGTTTTCCTTTTCTGGGAATGAGAAGTAAGTGGTCAATCTATCAGGCTTCTCTATAATCTAGACCAGGGATATGCAACCCATGGCTCAGTGATGCTTGATAGGATAACATAAAATAAGTTCCTTTGAGGCCCACAGTCAATCACAACTTTGATCATCCCTTAGTAACTACAACAAGACTGCAAGTCCTATCACTTTCTTCTCTGAATTAATCCTCATGCCTGTAGTGCTGCAAATGTCCTGAGAAATGAGGTTTTTGATGCTAAGGCTACATTTGGATGTTGGAGAAGGGGTGAGGGTCATCTGTCAAAAGAATGAACTCTGAATATCATCAGATCTTTTCTCCTTCCACTTTGGCAATGCCAAGAAATTAATTCTTGGCCATGCCAAGGTGGAAGATTAAAGCAAGATTTTTTTTAAAACTTGAATGGAGAAGAAATTCAGACGATTCCAGGAAAATATTGCCGTTCGACCCTATTGCAACAACTTCTTGCAGTTACCACAGTGTTGATTGAATATTAGACATTTTGGGAATTCAAAATCATAAAAATTTGGAATTTACTTGGCAAATTGGCTCAATGTGTTGACTGCCAATTTCCAGACATATTAAGCCCTGGCAATTGAATTGCTGGCTCCATCCATGAGAATTCCATCACTTTTCTGACACATGGCATTGGAGATATTCTCTTTCAAGTTGTTCAGATCTGTAGGCTTTTCCTTGTAAATAATGCCTTTTAAGTAGCCCCAGAGAAAAAAAAAATCACAAGGGATCAAAATCCAGAGATCGTGGAGGCCATTTGCCCTGGTTGACAATTCAAAATGCTACACTCCATATGTCTGAATTTGTAACCAAAACAAAGGTTTGGTAAATGAATTTTCAGTGACAATAGAGTGTAGAAACAAAAGATGTGACACCATCCCAAGGTCTAATGATAAACAGTCTAAAAAAATTATAAAGTTGGTTCCCCTAGATTCAGTATGAAAAAAGTTGCCCATAGGTGGACACCCTGTATTTCATGTGTCATACTTGTATGATGCAGGCAGCTGTGAGAGCAACTTCTGCTCCAGTTTTCCCACCAAGCTGAAGCAGTACGTGTCGGCTTTCTGCCTGGTTCTCAGCAATGGCCAGATCCAACGGAGTTGGCCTGTAAACCAATCACAACATTCAGCTCTACTGTTCAGAAGATGAATCAGGTCTTATTGAAAAAAAGATCAGTACCTAGGAAACATATATGAGAATCCAAGGGTGTTGATTGGAGCACCATGGAAGAGGATGAGGGTGACAATGACCTTGATGTGACCTTCCATAGCAGCCAGATGCAATGGAGTCAGACCTCTGGAGTCTCGAGAATCCACTGTTGTTCCAGCAGAAATTAGAAGGCTGGCAATCTCTTCATGACCAGCTGCTGCAGCCAAGTGAAGGGCTGTGCAGTTTTCATGAGTTCGGGTGTTCACATTTGTTCCATGACGCAACTACAATATCGCAAAAGGGAGTAAATCCAATGCAGGGCACTTTTGGAGTAGGTCATGGAAAAAGCATGAGACTCACCAGTAGTGTCACACAAGAAGCTTTCCCTGAGGTGACAGCATGATGCAGGACATTCTGACCAAGGGAATCCATCACTTCTGGATCTGCATTTGCAAGCAAGAGTTCTTCCATGATGAAGGACTGACCTGCTTCAGCAGCCATGGCCAGTGGAGTCATGCCAGCTCTGTCCTTTGCTTCCACACTAGCTCCAGCAGCAAGGAGAGTCTGGAGGATCTCACTCTGACCCTCACGGGCAGCCACATGAAGAGCTGCAGGGAAAGGAACCTAATTTCAACAAGTTGGGCAAGCCCAATCCAGTAGTGGGCCACCTTTCAACTAAGGAAACCCACATTTTATCACCTAATTGTACAAAATGCCATCTCTTTCCAGTCTTCAACCATCAAAAACTTCATTTCTCATTTATATTTGGTAAACAGACAAATGGTGCCCAAGAAACGATGATGGGAGGATGGAGGGCTGTTTGTGGTTGGATCCATCCACCACAACAGTTGATAGGGTACCAACAGCTCTAGTTGCTGACATGGCACTGCTCCCAAAGCCTGGGTTGTATGTGCATTGTGGTCCAGAACCTGAAGGGCTCATGGGTGCTTATAACTTCCTCTCCATGACCAAATTTCAATTCCAAAATTTGCAATAAAAATACAAATTTTGGCAAAAATTCACCACATGAACTCAGCCTGTATCTAGTTCATATCTACCCACTTGCCAACATTCACATTGATCAGGCCAGTATTTTTTAAGTTATTGTCGGACAACCAAAGTGTGACACACGGACAGAGAGGACATGAGTATAAATGGTCTCTTTCCTTTCAGGAAGGATGCCCACTAAAAATCAAACTGATGGATAATAGAGCCTCTTTACCCTTTGACCACTGGGTTTTTTGGGGCCTGGGGATCATAGTTTGAAAATGAGTATACTCCGGCTTGGCAGTCAAAGAGTTAATACCTTGAAGCCAATCTCTGCCAAATCACAGCTTTGTCAGAGTCCAAATATTTTTGCTGCATCTAAATATAAAAACGCAATAGAATCTCAACATGCTTCAAAGGAATGTTTTCAAACTTTGTGATAAATCAGGTGTTTCCCTATTAAGAAATGGAGTTAAAAAACATGGGTAAAAGAATCATGTCTACGAAAAGAAAATTACTTTGCAAGAAGCAACTAAAAAGTGTCAAGACTAGGTAATACAAAAATTGAGCTTACATTTTTTTCTTGATTTAATGACATATTTCTCAAAATGCTTGCCTTACAGGCATTATAAGTGTTACTAAGCACTTCAGCAGCATTTCAACGCACCCAGCAAACCCCTTTCTGGGAGATGAGTTTTACCCACTGAAAAATGCTAACAACAAAAGGAAAAAAGCCCTCAAGTCCCTCAGTTGAAATAAAATATAGATCAGAAGATGTAAGGATCCATACGATAGAATTGTAGTTTAGACTTTTTGAGACTAAATCACTCAAAATTATCCCATGGCAGTCCCAAATGGTATCCTTTTTTTTGTAATGCCTCATCTATCTCCTTCACAGGAACATCACAATTTACTCTGCTTTGACCTTGAGTCTTCCATCAGTATGCCCTAACGACCTAGACTATAAAAACAACCTGGATATTACAGGAAATGATACCCAATTTCTGCACAATCATCACTGCCATAGCATACTGTCTAAACCAGAAAATTGGTACAGCTAGAGGAAAAAGTCCAGGAACTTTTCAATCACTCCTTGTACAGAAATAACTGAAAGGAAGAATATAGTTAGATTGCAATTCAATATAAAAATGATTCCCTCTCCAGCAAAGAAACTCATAAGTTCGATTAAACTGGTTAAAAGCTTTTTATCGGAAATCAAAAGGTCACAAAAATGCAATGATGAGATTCTATAAATGGAATAGACCTAAGCCAGAGATAAATAGATTTCAGATCAACAAATCCATCTGCATTGGTAAAGCATGAATTAGGTTTATCAACAATGCTTACAAAGGGATAAGGAAAAAGTTCTCTTCCTCAATCTTAAATTCACACATTTGTAATTGTGTGTTCATGCATGCAAGATTTATTCTCTCTCACAATAATGCCATAGAAAGACACAAGATCCATGACTCCATTTAAGAACATTAATTAATAACAAGTTTGTTTGCCCTGAGGCCAACAAACTTGCAAGGGTAAGTGCTCAACAATTTAAGATCATGACAACTGCATTTAAATCATTCATTTTCAATGCTCACAAATACCAATGTGATCAAACTCCTTGGGTCATAATTAATCACTTCCTATGATACCCAAAAGTAATTTTTAAATTTAAATGCGGCTTTATTTGGGTTTTATCTTCAAATACGTTGAATTTAACATTTTTGCCCTGTGTACCTCTTCCAATAAATTTGACATCAGATGTTTTTGACTAATTCCAATAATTCACTTTGGTCTTCTTTTTCTATATGGGCAAGTTATCAATAAAAAGTTTGACCTCACTCTATCATTTTGCAATATGTTCAATCAGGGTTTATCAGCATGGCAGTCTCATGATGCATGGTGTCTCAAAAGTAGAGATGCAACGATATTGAATTTTGGCTGATATCCGATATACCGATAATTCCGATATTGGAAAAGAACTGATACCAATACCGATATCTATATATACATTTATATTTGCACATTCAGGGTAGATTTTGAACAGTGAACTATCTGATAATGCTGCTTTATTTCCAGGAAATATGTGTTTTC